TTCAGTTTTAATCCTAACTGTTTTTCTGGATACCACTTTAATTAAACTTTATTAATTGACTTTCAGTTTGCTCCAACTGTTTTTATTAATATTGCTATGGTCACTTTAGTTAGATTTTTAATGCTAGACATTCAGTTTTTGCTCCAAACTGTTTCTGGATATGCATGGGCACTTTTGTTAAACTTTATTAGCTTGTCCTGCAATTTTGGCCTAAATGTTTTTCATTATTTTGCACTTGCCTTCCATTTGGATTTGTATAGTGTGATATTCTCCCCCTGTTACCCTTCCCCTGAATTAATCCTGTATTTTCTGCTTTATTAGCCTGTTTTCTGTTGCTGGCACCTTTTCTTTCCTATGCTTTACTCTGGTCTCGCATGGATCGCGTTTTTTTCCCGCGAGCACGCTTTTTATTCATTGGTGCTGGGACTTCAGGGCAGGTCTCTGGGGGTTGGGGATGTCGGGGGGACTCTTTTCCATGCCGGCAGACCGCGATCGTATTCTCGATCGTGGGCCGCACGGCACTTTTGCGCGCGAACGGCGGCCATCTTGAATCTCGCGGCACTCGCGAGATTCACGTCGGCCATGTCGTTTGGCCAGTTCGTGATTCCCACGAACTGGCGGCTAGTTCTGTACTGTTTCATATATTTTTCCTGTGAAATAAAAGTTTTACAAGTACTTTTGAGCTCAATACTGTTCATGGGCATGTGGATTAAAGGTTTTATATGTACCTTTCCTGGAAGATTATGAATGGACTGTTCACTGCTGAGCTCTATACTGGCATATTTCATTGGCATGTGAAATAAAAGTTTTATATGTAACTCTGCATGAATATGTAGGACTGATCCCTGCTGTGTGCATCTGCTGACAGTTTGCTCTATTCTGTTCTATACAATTGACATGTTGAATAACAGTTTTATTGTACATCTGGAGGATTATGAATGGACTGTCCCCTGCTGTGGGTATATAGTGGATGCATTACTCTATCTACTGGCAGGGAAATTAAATAGAGCTGATATCTTACTCCGCTCCCTACTCCCACTGGACCTCACAACCATTGGATACACTCCTTCCCCACAGGGATACACCTCCCAGGACACAGTAGTGGAGGCACATAACGGAGTGATTAACAGGGGTGATCCCCCTTACGCTGGGTGACCCCCAAGCGTGGCAGACACCTCTCCAAGTGACATTGTGGTACAGGGGTGACCCCCCTTACGCTGGGTGACCCCCAAGCGAATCTGGTTCCTGTCCTAGTGACATACATATACTGGGGTGTTCCCCCTACTCTGGGTGAACCCCAAGCGAATATTATTCCGGTACTAGTGACATACATATACTGGGGGAAACCCCCACGCCCTAGGGCGGGCTCATTTCCACGGAGTACGATCTGTTACTGTATGCACAGACCGGGTCACACTGAATACATGTATATCGACAGAGCCAGGAAGGAGAGCTCATGGTGCTGCCAATTCTCCACAGTACTATATCCTATAAGGGTGACCCCTTGGATAATTTGGAGGCTACCATACCTCCCCATACACGGGCTACGTCCCGACATTACTGACCGCTCATCCCGGTCTTATTGAGGGTGACCCCCTCCTCAGACCACTCCCAGGAAATCTCTAAGTGGTACTGATTGAAACAATTCTGGGTGACCCCCAGTTGTACGTGGAGGCCCACTAAGTGGCAATAAGTGTACTACCGTACCTGACACCTGTTCGGTACCCCATAGACCGAAAGAGTGTCCCAACATGCCATAAGAGACATTCATACAGGGGTGACCCCCCTATGCTGGGTGAACCCCAAGCGAGTCTTACTCCGGTGCTAGTGGCATAGGTACAAAGGGGTGACCCCCCGCACCCTTTCTAGGGCTTCTACCTTCAGAGTACGCTCTGTCATTGTATGCACAGACCAGGGCGCACTAGATGCATGTATTCTGGCACCTCTATGCTTCAACTGGGGTTCCGTACGCCCTTCCCTTAACCGAGAAGGAGAACTCACAGTGCTGCCAAAACTCCACAATTCTAGACCATATAAGGATGAACCCCGTGGACTATATATATTGAGGCTTTCACGTCTCCCAGACTCGGGCTACGTCCCGACATTGCAGACCGCTCATCCCGGTCTTACTGAGGGTGTCCTCATTCTCAGACCACTCCCCGGATCCTGCGAAAATGATACTGATTGATCAAAATTCTGGGTGACCCCCAGTTATACGCGGAGGCCTACTGAGTGGCAATAAGTGTACTGTTGTACGATCCTGTCTCCCACGGACCGAAAGGGTGTGAACCAACATGTCGGACTTACCTCAATATCCCCGACCGATTTTCAGGCGAGGATTAAGGCTGCCATGACAGCTCCGGGGGAAGAAGTCCTCTCCAGTATGCTGGCTAACAACCCATCCGACAGAGCGGGTGCAACGGCAGCAACACCAATGGAAGATTGAGATACCGACGTTAGGTCGGACACCCATCATCAGGGGACGAGGACTTCATCCTCCCCCCCCCTTCTCTGGAGATCATGAAAGAATGGAGGGCAGAAGAGGTAAAAGTGACAAGACACGCCTAGCAAGAAAGGTTTTTTCTTTGGCACACTGGACACTCCTGTTTTGACTCACGCACCATCCGACAACCAGGGTCATCCGAATGGGGTTAACTGGAGCACCGGGCCCACTTCTGGCTTAGGAGGCCTATGGGAAAAGAAATCCGAGACCGGCTCAGGATGGAATGCCCACGCCCTCTATGTCCGAACAAGATAGTCCTCACTATGGAGCTCGTGGTGATATGTATGTCCCGATCAGTGTGTAGGAGGAGGACTCAAAATGAGTTAAATACTGGATATGATCAGCCCGGGAAAAAATTCTATACTTTGCGGACCTGACCCCACACAAGACTCACCTCTAGAAGCTCACGATGTGAGGGAATGGGTGCAAAGGGCAATATGTAAGTTGGGGAACGCAAGGCAGACAGGTGCACAGAACGCCGCAAAGCAGCCCGATTAAAGATGGATTTCAAACTATTGAAGTTAGGGACGAAAGAGCGAGGACCTCAGGCAGACGGACTATCGTTTGGAGAACCATTTATCTCAGCAACGGTTTGGTAGTAAGGAAGAAGATAGGAGACTATCACCCAGTCATCAACCTATGCCAACCCAATGGTTTTGGGGCGTACCGACAACTCAAGAAGGAAGGTATCCATCTCTTAGGGGATCTACAAGGTTGGACTTGAAGGGCACTTACCTATAGGTTCACATGGTGCCTCATGAAGTTTCTGAAGTCGGTCACTGCGCACTGAAAAGCAAAGGGTATCTGCTGTCACATACCTAGACGACTTACCTTTTGCAAATCCAATTCATGACTACGTTTACAAACGAGATTTATGTTTACAGTTTCGGGAATTGTTGGGATTCATAGTGAACAGAGAGGAGTTGGTTCGATCCCAGTTCCGAGTGATTCAGTTCCTCTATTTCAGAATAGATTCCACCTTGGGCGGATTACACCTTCCCACATCATTGATAGCGACGATTCGTAAGGAAATTCGACGGGTACGGCGGAAAGGCACCATAACCCTTTGACTATTTCCCAGGACTGCTTCACTACCAGGCCAGACAGTGGCTGAAAGCTCACTGCCTGAGATACGGACACACCTATGAAATTGGGATCAGAATAGCGAAGACTTCGATAGTACTCATTACTGCGGTAAAGGAGGCAAGCGTGACACCCAGAAGGGTTGTCCTTAATCAGGATCATCCTCTGCTCCTTCCGTTTTAACTTGCCTTCGGGCGGATCCAAAAGGAGAACATCATCCATTGAGAATGCAGGAGCATCTGGAGTTGGTAGATTGGTGTCTTCCAGGGGAGATTGGTATGTCAAGGGACTATCGCAACCAACTAGAGACCTACTATGGGACTCATGGACGCCAGGTATTCCCCCGAAATAACTTATCCGCATGGAACACCTTGAGTTCGCTGGTGTATGGGAAGGGACTGCGATCCCTTTATTACCCCTATCTCCACGATGCTGGATCTTTATCATACCTTTTCACTACAGGCCGATCGGAACGTTCCATTAACGGGCTACGTTCCGCGATTTCGACGATGCATAGCACGATTCACGACACTCCGGTCAATCAAGAGCCTTTGATATGCCATTTTCTGTGGGGTATCAAACCGTCCAGAACCATGCGTCAAAGTATCACTGGTGTGGGACTTTGATTTGGTTCTTTTGGAGCTAGTCAGATATCACGGTCCTATCCCTCAGTCAGCCATTAGCCAGAGTCACGTTACTTTTAGGTCTTTTCGTCGGGTATCAGATGTACTGGAGTTCGACGTAGACGGTCTTTTCGGTATCACCGGAAAGAATAATTTCTACAGTGTCTCGTAGAACTATATCTTATCCGTGTCCGTATCGTTCCCTGTTACCGACGGTTTCCCAGCCTTTGTGCAGTTAAAGGGGTACTTTGTTACATGGAGATCACGACAACACTTAGAATGTCACATTCAGGACATCTGCTGGTCTTATACCAACCGTACAAGCCAGTTACCATGAACACTCTGTCTAGATGGGTTCATTGGTTGTTATCGCTAGCGAGGGTGGAGACGTGTTTGGGTACTCATTCGGTAAGAGGCGCAGCTGCTTCTCAGGCCTTCACGAGGGGGCCTCTATATTTTCAGCGACGAATTGGACACGGATAGACTACTTCCGTATATTTATTTTCGTCAACCACACACGCATCCTTCACGCTCATACCACAGCTTTAAAAATGCAAAATATGAAGCCTCCTGTCATGTGATAAAATTGTAGATTATGCTAACGTAGTGTACCTATAATCTTAATTTTAATAATGACAGGAGGCGAGTATTTTCCCTCCCTATACTCTGGAAATTTTTTATATTTTGGTTTGTTATTTTCTCAGTGTAAATTATAAGGTTTGGTAATTCAGTATATTTATGGGATGCTTATTTGGTTGATATGTGTTAGATCCGTGTTGATTATTAAGTATACTATGGTTTGTTTAATGTTTCAGTATATTAACTTAATATAAATATAGACACATATAGTACTGGATTTAATGTGGACAACAGTTGGTTTCCATCACCTTTCACGTATTTCTGTTCTTTTCAGCGTAATCATCATAGATGGATTCGACAAGATAAAGCTGGAAGGTTTCAAGTTATGTTCTACACGTTACTCAGGACTGTTATTTGAATTCCCTGACGTTATAATAGACTGTTTTTCGCATCAAAGAAAGAGGAAGTCATGTGACTGTCAGGGCTTTATATATGAATGTGATGCCTGTTACTGATTGGTTTAAAGTTTATTGATTGACTTGTGCTGCTGGAGGCATAAAGTAAAGAAAGTTATGCAAAATACTCGCCTCCTGTCATTATTAAAATTAAGATTATAGGTACACTATGTTAGCATAATCTACAATTTTGCAATTCAACTTTCAGTTCACTACAAATAAGAATTTGAATAAACACACAAATAATTATCTTGGCAATTTGCATCCTGTGCTTCAACTGAATTGGATTATGATATAATTTACTAAATCTATACAATCGTAGTTGTTTACTAAAGTGAATTTCAAATATAAGGTCAAAATAGCCAGTCTGGATAAATTCAGTCAGCTCTGCTTCCGGTTCTGTTACTTTCGCCTTCAACTTGGAATTCACTTTGAATTCTCCTTTTAGTTAAAAATGTAAAAGAAAACTAAAATATTATGTGAAAAAAAATGCTAAAACAAGTTATAAGTGATTATTAAAGTGTTATTCGGAGGTGTAATTACACAGTCCCTTTAAATAACATTTCAAGTAGTCTTGGACATTTTTTACAATTTATTTTTGGAAAAATAATTCAAAAAACCTATTTGTGTGAAAGAGTAATTAACACGTTTTCCATGTAATACTAAGGTAAGCAAAAAAAAAAAATCTGATGTTTGATGGAGTAGACTAGATTGTGACTTACAAATGAACTGCTAGTTTTAAAGCCTCATTAATCACAACTTAAATCCCCAGGTTCCCAGACTTTCTAATTAATCTTCTTCTGCTGATACCAAGTCAGAAATGGCAGCACACTAAACCAATGTAAAATTTATTCTGCATGTTATGCAATGATACCATGAGGTTAAAGCCAAGCATACACATCGTGATGAAGGCCATTTGTGCTACCCTAGAGAGGCAATAAATATACATAGAAGACAGAGTACACAAGGTGTCAATGATAATGGAGAAAGATATATTATGCAAAGAACAATTCTGACCAAAGACCTAAAAGTGAAGTTATCAACAGCAACATTCCACCGCTTACAATGCTGATTATTCGCCTTTTAGAACATTTGTCTATAATTACTTCTATACATATTCCTTCATGTGTACATAAGGAGCAGTGCGTGAATTGGGAGATTCACTTTAGAATGACAGATCTTGCCAGCTGTGCAGGACAACTGTAATTACTTTTTTCACTCCTCGTTCTTTAAAAATATATTAAATTAAAGAATTAATAATATA